CGGACGGCAAGGTTGGGAATTCGACTCAGATCGCTAGTTCTTTCCCCGAGGAAATAGTTCAGCTGGCTCGAAAGGCAAAGATGAATACGGATGTTCGTCGAAATATTTTCTGTACTGTCGGTGAGTACTTTTATGAGAAGTCGAAATCCGTGTCTGCTAATGTTGTACATCTATTTTTTACATTTCGTGAAACTAATACTTTTCGCCCTAATGAAACGTCAAAAGAACTTTTTCATTTACAGCTACGTCTGATGATGAGGATGCTGCGTTTGAGCGCCTCCTTCGCCTTTCTCTTAAAGGTCAACAGGAGCGAGAAATCATCTATGTGTTGATCATGATGTTTCTGAAAGAAAAGAACTTCAATCCTTTCTATCCGACGCTGATTGCACGATTTTGCGATTTTGATAGGCGATTTGTGGTCAGTTTGTCAAGTGTTCAGCAGAACTTTCGATGTATTTTCTTGGCAAAGTTCCCATAGAACAAGCGATGTCAGTGTGAAGTGAGGGTTCGTTGTGAATTTCTCATTGCTTTCTTCTTTTCCAGCTAACTACGCAATACGCGTTATGGGATCGCATTCGAGAAGTGAATTCGCTTAAACTTCGAGCTCGCATCCGTTTGGCTGATCTAATTCATCATCTCATTTCCAATGAAGTCCTACCGATTACTGTATTGAAGGTTAGTTGATCGCCTCCGTTTCATTCTAAAAAGGAGTTTCGGTGAACGCTGTCACGGTAGAGAGATTTCGAAACCAAGCTGGATCTCACCCATTGTGAAGAGCCAAGGAAAGAGTAATAAAATTCATTCCCAACAGGAAGAAGTTAAAGGAGCGAATCGCCTGGAAACAACTGAGCTTTCTTTTCATGAGAACAATACAAGTGTTACCTTAAAAAACAGTGGTAACATTAACTGCAAAGAACCTGGTACAGCCGTGTGCATGCAATTATCGTTGTCTAGACTTCAAGCTTCATTGTTTGACTGAATTTTTTCAGGTGGTGGAATGGGGCACCTTAACCGCTGGTGTGTCATCGGTGATTCGGCGAGTTTTAAAGCTTCTTTCATCTTCATCTGTTACGAAAGTCCGTCGGATTTTCAATCCGTTACTTGTTAAAGACAAAAACTCGTTATTAGCGGAAGGTATACGGTTATTCTTGAGCGTGAACTTCCCTGATAGTGAAGTTTACACAAAATTAGGAGAGACCTTTCTTGCCAGTTAACCTGATTATTTTTGTCATACTCCCACATACATTGTTAACAGTTTTTGTTTTTGTTACCTCTCTTATTGCGTTGTTTGTTGTTGCTGTTGCGTTCTGTATTGGATAATTCGACAGTAGTAAATAAAAAAATTGTTTTACCTACTCATCACCACACGGTATATCCTCCGACGACCAAACAATTCGCCGTCAACACAAATTTTTGAAGTACACATTTTAAACGGAATCGAGAACACATTTCTTTTTCATCATCTTCTCCCATTATCTGAAACGCCTTCCCTTTTCGTGGTCTAAACATGAGCCCTTCCCATGGTTTCATGGTTTCTTTCGACATAA